GCGCCGGGTCACATTGCACGGTTCCTGAGACGTGTGGTGCCCCTGATACTCCGGGGAACCGCACGCCGGGGGGGTCTGGCAACGGACAATCACTGGCGGGGCCGCGGTGCGTTGCGAATCCCGTGGCTACCAACCCGCACTCTCGGCACGCAATGGGGGGACTCCGGTTCTCGGATTGCGTGTCGGGTGACCAGTGCTGGAGTATTGCCTGGTTTTTAGTGGCCCTGCTCACTTCGACGAGCCTCATGGTTTGCTGAAGTGGACGGGGAGGAGTCCCACATACCTTCTTCTTGCTCCCCCAGTGGTTGAAGGATGCGTAAAGCATTTTCCAGACACAACTAAAAAAAATGGGTGAGGATGGCTGGTGTGGCAGGTAGAGCTGCTGTACCAGCTATCTTCACGTTTGGACTTCAACGTCACTTAACATCAGGTGGGGCGTAGTAATTTGTCGGAAATATCTATAAAAAAAACCCATTTCTGAAATATGCTTTTTAACATTTTTGAAGTTATACTTCTTTAGCCGCGTTATGAAAAAAATATGAGAGTGAAATTTTAAGATGCGCGCGCATCACTGTAACACAAAAGTAACATAATGAAGTTAGCCGCGGGCGCGTTATGAAAAAATGATGAGAGTGAAATTTTAAGATGCGCGCGCAACACTGTAACAGAAAAGTAACATCATGAAGTCGGCCGCTAAACTGCACATTACTCGTAAGTCTCGAAAAAAAGCTTCCAACAAAATAGTAATAGGATCTCTTAGTCGCACATGTTGGGACGATCGTCGCCTCTGATCACTGTTTTCATATTTATAATTTAATAAAACTGTAAGAATGTGCGGGAGGGCGAAGGGGGAGTGTGAGAAGACTGACGTCAAATAAAGATAGGCGTAGGTAGAAAATACTTATATTGTGATTACTATTCAATATTTGTAGGAGAAATGGTATTACTGTATCCCACAAGGGTGGAAGTACATGTATACTATTACCGAGACACTAAGACGTCCCACGTGGTAGGCTTGTTGAAAATATATCGATGTATCGATATATCGATATTTTTTGTTCGATATATCGATATTTTTTGCCGATATATTTTGATTCAATATATCGATACATCGATACAAAATAACCAATATCGAAATTCGTATCAAAAACGATATTTTTTTAATTATTAGCGGCATATCACGATCTAACTAAATTCGTATCTAGAAAAATCGTAACTGGATTTCAGATTAATGATATTCAACATATCTATGATCTGTGCTGTATTTAGTATTGTCTATTATTTGTAAATCTGTTTCGCTGGTGAATTGGTTGTGCTGATTTCCATTATATTCTGTGAAGTGTGTGACTGTCTAGTCTTGTTTACGAAAGAGACCCTGCAATCGTTTACCTGAGAGGCCCTGCAATCATTTTCATCATTCGAAAATAGGGTCTATTTTTAGGGAGATAATTTTCGTTCCATTATTATTCCGCGTGTCATATTTCGTGAGATATTGTACGATATTTTTGGGAAAATTGGTCCGATATATCGATGTTTTTTTCGCGATTTTTCGAAGCCGATATTGATATTTTTTAAAAGATCGATGTATCGATATATCGATATTTTTTTCAACTTTTGACATTCCTAACACGTGGTGGAAGCGTATAGCGTGCAAAACAATAGGCCCTACCTACGAAGCGATGACTTGGTCAATTTCCCAAGAACACCTTATACAAGTGGTGTCAGTATAGTATAGCACGATTCACATGCGTATAGCGCCATCTAGTAGCGGTCGGCGTGATGATATTTGATCCTATGATGTGCCATACAATCGGTGTCGGTATAGGATAGCGCGATTCATATGCGTACAGCGCCATCTAGTAACGGGCGTCGTGATGATATTTAATACTATGGTGTTACAAAAATAATGGTGGCTTATTAACCACTTAGTGGTTAATAATCCACCATTATTAGACATCTGCTCGAAAGGTACTTTGAACGATCCACGGAGCTCCATAAGATGATCGCGTTGTCAAAAACAATGTTGGCACGCTCGTCGCCTCTGATCACTGTTTTCATATTTATAATATTTATCCACATGTTTCTAGTTTCTATATAGACACAACGTGTTTTAGTTACTTACAAGTGCTAATTACATATGGACTAATAACTTAAATTCAGTAGTGATTTTAATTGAATATTTTGAATATTTATTTAATTTTTCAAATTTAAACTGAACTTAATTGACTGTGTTAGCTATCCTTTTCCAGTCCTTTTATTATTTTATTGTAATTATTAATTATTTGCATGGAATTAAAAAGTATTTTTAATGATGCTAAAGAAGTATAACTTCTCACGCGCGTACATAAGTTACACGCATCCATTTTTTTTAGTTATATTGAAAGGTACTTATGTAGGTAAAAATTAATTGTTTAAATCCTTTAATAAGCTCGCTTTCAGCACACGCAGTGTCTGTAGTAGGCCCTAATAGATTTCACAACTTATACAAAAAGAATAGTAAGAATAAGAAGGTAAACTAGAAAAACTACGTCGTACTACAGAAAAAATTAACTTCTTATTGTTTAAATTTGTTTTATTTTTATATAAAGATGATTTAAGGCTTTTTGTACAGATTAAGAAGCAGAGTAAAATATAACCACGCCGTTTTGATCAACTGTAAAAGACAAATAGGAAAGATTCATTAAACAAATTAATTTTATTAAACGGACATGTTGCAGAGAATCCCTCAAAAAAGTTCAGTTATAGGTAAGCCAAATGTAAAAATATCTCTCAATAAATAAATAAATAATATCAACAAACCTTACATCATCGTGCGTAAGAAAGATATATTTTACTAGAATGTGCTGGTTGCTAGATTTTCCGTGCAGTAAGCAGTAAAAGTAAAACGACCGTCCATATTCAGAGAGACGAATTTTTATTCGTTCTTTGTCATGCATTTTCTTTTTCTATTGTTATCTATACTAATCTTATAAAGAGGAAAGATTTGTGTCTTTGTATGGTTGTAACGCAGGGTCAGATTTACAGATGTGGAGGCCCTGGGGCAACGAAGGAGTCGAACGAAGGAACGGAGAAAAATCCGGTCCTGATATTAAATAACTACTAGTCCAACTGGTCTAGTAGTTCACACATTCCTACATTCTTTCGCCATGCTTCATTATCCCTGAGACAAAAAAGGCTTTAATCGGGTTAAATTAAAGTTCACCAGTGCAAATCCGAGGCGGACCGCTAGTCGCAAATAAAGTGATAGGCTGATAGTATGCTATCAAATTGACGTCTCTGTATTGAATATAGGTATATCTGGAACAAAATGGTGGTTTCGAGAAAGAGGTAAAAACCGCTGAATCGACCTCAACTGTGCAGCATGCGAGAAATTTCGCGATGCCTTCTCGCTCGAAAAACCTCAGCACTTGAACACCACATACGGAGCTAAAACGAGGTCGTTGACAATAATCCTAATAAGAAGGCTCAGAGTCACACAGTGAGCAATGGAGAGAGCTATGCTCGGTATTTCTCTTATTGAATCAGGAAAGAGTTTTTGAGGGTGGACGGAGCGAATCTATGATGTCTACTATCTTTATGTAGTCTATAATAATATCGTATGTCGTATGATGCCTTTTATGAATCGCGTCTCATAAGAACCTAGATGCGGTCACATTAGGTAATTATAATTAGTAAAATGTTAATTTATGAAAAAATATTGCTTACCGTCGTAAACGTCTTTAAAGATATGACTGAATAGCCAAAAGTAGTGATGTGCAAGGGCCTTTGAGCTCTATAATACCAAGAAAATACATTATGTTAATTTTATGATCAGCTACCATTGATTGAGTTAAATCATAAGCCTGCTCAACAGTTACCAGAAATGATTTGAATTTAGAATGATTTCCTAGAAAAAACAAGAGCAATGAGCGTGAAACATATTATGTTAAAATAAATAACTTATTTCATAAACTCTGTGGCATAAGATTGCAGCGGAAGTTTAAGGGATTGGATTAGACTGTTGGGGTATAGCCAAGAACGCAGAAAAAGTCTTGTTCCGTTAGGTTACAAGATTACAATTACAGGTGCAAATTGAGCGAGCGAAGCGAGCATGCCGCGGTAGAGGCCATTGAAACGCCAAGTAGCTAAGGTAGTGAATATATGTGCATGCACCACTAAACAAATTTTACTACTATTAATAATTAGTTAAAAGTATAAGGCGTACTATTATCAACTTGAACGTTCGTTAAACTTTATCTTGTATTTCAACCTCTTTTTGCCAATGTCGGGGAAAAAAGGCTTTGTTCAACGATAACTTTACTTAAACCAATCGATTTGTGAACAAGCCACTTACAAATCGTACAATACGCGATACCTATTGCGTAGCGCACTCACTCGGCTTCTGATTTTTCTAGCGCTATTCTCAACTGGCTATCTAAATCCCAGATCTAAATAGATCGCGACTGTAGTCTAGAAAGATAGTCGGCCGTCCCGGCAACACACAAACAGTTTGGTAAAACAAGTTCTCGATCAATAAACTGCTATAGTCGGAAATTACTACCGCAAAGTGCTTTGCAACCAAGTTTGTGTTATACTAAGTAAGATTTCACGGGGTACACGATGGGGTCAGGGTAGGCAACAGTGGCTACACTAACCTGTGGCAAAGGCGCGAATGAAAGCTGGTATCGCAACCGTCTGTAGGTTATGGTGGTCGCTTACCATATGATTAATTCATCATCATCAGCCTATTAACGTCACCACAATTATGATTAATTGCTACATTTTTTAAAATAAAAGTAGATATTATTGTTTTAATTTAACTCGAATTACCTTATTAGTATGACAAGTAAGGAACTTTTGATTTTAGATGATGCTTTATACCATCCACTGTTATAAACAGCTTGAGATATGTCTTGGCTCTGAAAAAAAAGCAACATTAATGTACTTAATTGGCTAAATAGGTACTAAAATCTCAGTCACGACTCATAGGTACCATTCCTCGCTATTGTTGCTAATTGTGAGTTGATTCCAGTTTCAAAGGTAGCTGAAGCGGCAATTTACACTTCAGTTATCCTCACTGCCTAAACCGAACGTCCCTGCCTGCGGCTCGTGGAACTCTGGCAATCTAAGGGCGAAGCAAAACGAGCGTATTTTTTGAAGTTGTGAGTTGCGTAACATTGTTCGCAGAAATTCTGCCCAGCAGAAATTATGTACCTGATGAACGCTTTCATCGCTCCGCCCGCCCCCGCGAACACAATTCGGGCGGAATTATGCGTCTGAGTGAGTCAGCAGACAACCAATTTTTCGTCGCGTTATGAATCAAACAGGATTTTTTTATTAAACCTAATGCAGCTAAAATTACGCGATCGAAAATATGCGACTTAATTTTTTTTAAATATGCTCGTTTCGCTTCACCCTAATTCTTTGCAGAAACGCTACAGCAACCCAAGCACAAATTATTGAAATCACCGGGTCGTATCGTCAAATTTTTTATGAAAAAAGCTAGTTTGTTCTTACGTCTGATAGCTTAGTTTTCATAAAAACTTTGAAGAAACGATAAGTTATGGAGCTGTCGAAAATTCGCGCTTGGGCTTCAGAACAGTGTTGAAAGAAGGTTTTTCTAACTAGCGCTGAAAATACGTAGTGCTCCCCTTACTTGGATTAAAATAGATTTTTCTTTTCATTCCAACCACGTTTGTAACTACTCCAATTTGTTCAAATAGTCTCTTTCTTTATGGTTGTTTTAGACACGATATAATTAAAGGTTTAAGCTGACGACTAAAAAGCGTGAAGGGACTGTAAAACACATAACATTTAACCTACACACCCCGCACTCTTCGCAATCTGGGCGAATGCACTGACCAATTATGCTACCGCGGCCCTCACGGACCGCGTCGAAATTCCTCTAGGTGGTTCAAGTCCCGTCTGCTGCCTGGTCCGCGTTAATTTTTTTCTATTTATATTTTCTTTAGATTTAAACATCAAGCAGTTACATGATTAAAAAAAAACAAAGATAATTTGTTTGTTGATGTTTGATTGTTGTATCTTAATATTTGAAGTTGATACGAAGGCATGTGTTTAGCAAGGAGATCATGATAATGGTATCGAATATATCAGTCAGTAAATCTTATTTTTTTCATTTTCAGTTTTTTTGAAGACGAGGAACCGTCTATTTTTATTAAATATTATTTTTGAAGTATATTAAAAATATCTTCATACTTACAGATTCGATAAGTCTGTGTCCGAACCAACACAACAATAATGATTCGAATAGCGCTACAAACAGGAAGCATTTGTAACGCATTTCGTTCCAATTTTCCACGAGCTGAAAACAATAATAGATATAAAGTTAAAATTAAAAAAATCTTTACTTATATTTATTAAATAATAAATAAATATTTCCAACACTTACACCAATTAGCCCAAAAGTCAGCACTGGAGGCTTGTGTTATGGGATACTAGGGTAACGGATAGAATACATATAGTGATACATAAATGAGTATATTTATACAGAAATACATATTAAACATCCGTGACTGCAGTACAAATGCTCGTATTCATCACCCACCGGGATTCGAACCCGGACCTCTCGAGTAGACGACACCTTGAAACTCGGCGTGTAAACCAATGAGGTCATCAAAACAGAAATTGTATACAAGGTCCAACTAATTAAGCTCCAAATCATCAGAGAGGAGAGTATTACGTGCACCAGTATTGTAGGTAAATAAGCTGAAGAAAAATGGTACTTACTGCACCACAAAATGTACAGAAACATATTATGATGGAACTGTTGAAGAAATGAATGAGCATCGGGAAACTGTAGATGCCCTCTACATCTGCGGCTAGTCTGAACAAAAACAAACGATTAATAAAAAAGTTAAAATTGCGTCAAGCACCATAGTGTACCATTCATGCATTTCTACCATACGTTGCCTTTGGATAGCTTATCCTACCGACATAATATTTCCTATAAGATTAGTGTGCGCATTCCGTATGCTATCGTGGAAGTTAAGTTACTTAAAATATTATTAATAATAAGATGGTTGGTAGTAGGATGAGTGACCAATTTTTAGAAGTGAAACTTCTTTAGGCACGCTTGACTTGGTCGGTAAACTGGCGAATGTGTTACGATTTTTGCGTTACGATGAGTTTCATTGGTAAATAATGAACAATCATCATCATCAGCCTATTAATGTCCCCACTGCTGGGGCACAGGCCTTGCCTATGGATGGAATAGGGAGATTGGGCCATGACCCACCACGCGGGCTCAGTGCGAATTGTCGGGTGCTAACGACTGCAGATGCAGACCCAGTGCAGATTGGTGGATGATAACGAACCCAGCGCGGATTGGTGGGTGATAACGGACCCAGTGCGGATTGTAGGGTGATTACTACAGTCGTGTGGTCATAAGCACACTCGCTTTTTTTTTATCTCAAGCTCCTCCGTGCTTTAGACAGTATATGTTTCTGTAGTCGTTAGCACAACCACGCGTTTAATATGGTTCCTTATTTCTTCCTTAGGAGATACCTTCGCCCCAGAAAACTGTGCACAGTAATAGGCTCATGATATTACCTACCCTTTTCACATGTTTCTTTTTTATGTATTTTAGTGTTTATTAACACTTGTCTAAAAATCCTGTAGACGCCATTACTGCCCAACCAAATTTATATATAAAGTTTTGTTTCCTTATTCTTGTTGAAGCGTTTATCGGCTACCAGAAATCACAGCTTTTTGTGATAACAACTAAATAAAATCACTGAAAGACGTGTAATTTAAAGCACCGTGCAGACATTTTCCTATTTCATATCAAGAAAACTTGACAAACTCTGTTATCATGAAGGCCGCGTCGAACAAACTTCTGATAGGTACCAAATTAGGAAAAGTTTTCAAAACAAAAGTCATTAAGCGAGAGAGGAAATTACCTATTGATGGTTAAGCCGTCGCAAAACAACTTTGTTTATCATAGTTAACTATAGGTGCTTATTAATAAACAGACTGGGCGTAAGCTAGAATCGGGGGGGACGGCAGTGCAAACACTGCCGTACCATCCTTTACTGGAACCATTTCGCCGCATTTTCAGGCCCCTATTTGAGAACCTCTGGCTAAAACCAGAACGCAGAAATTTTCGTCATCCAGTATGTTATAATCACATACTTAAAATCCAAAATTACAAGTCTGTAGATCATTTAGTTCCGAAGTTAAGCGAAAGTAAAGTTTCGCATTTATGACACTCACTCATGATCATCAGAATAGAACTAGTACTTCGCATAAACTCAGAGAGCTGAAATTTGGTACAGAGTTAGGGTTTAATGGCCAAATAAAGGGAAAACTATAAAAACTAGGATAATCGAAGATCTGGAGTACCTGGTGACCCTGATTAGAAAACACAAGAGCCCAATCAAGCTATTAGAAGAGATCGACATACCGCCTTTACAAAAATATTCAACTTGGTGGGCCGCTTCATTTGATGTCAAAAATCGAAGGTCTGAAGTATCTGATGAAGAACCCTCAGCTGGTCTCAGCTGTATTAGAGATATGATAGTGCCCCATATTACTATTGGTACATAAAAAAATCGACTGTCATTGCAAAAATCCAGCATTATGGGACACATCTTCTAATTTAATCTAGCCTAAAGCGTCTCATTGCTAGGCGAATGCTTGCTTCTGCTTTTAATACGCATATAAATACAATTAAAGGAAAACTCTGGATAACACTAGACTGGCTTTTATACTTATACTTACGAGTTTGCAAAAAAAATAGTCGAAAGATTAACTTTATTCTACTCGAACACTACACAAATTAAATAAACAAATTACACTAAAATAATAATTTCGCTCAAAATTTGGTCAAAATATAATGCATTGGACTAAGAGTGGCGGTGATACCAAGGTCTAAGTCTAAAAAATGCCCTCAGAAATTAAACCGTCTAAAAGAATAAATAATAAACGCGAATGGGCAATACGAAAAACTGTTGCTACTGTACTAGAATCAGTACCGGAAAAAAGAAAAGAAAGATTTGTAATAATAAAAAGACTACTCCTAAAAAGAAAAAAATGTGTCAAATAAGAAAATCTTATAAAATACATCAATGTGCCCACGTTTCTACAAAATGAAGTGAAATCCCACCAAAAACATTCTGTAAAAAATTAGCCAAGTCTCGATGGAGCTGCTTGATTATCTCTAAAAAGTAATGAAATCTAGACAAAGTCCTGCCAAGTCTAAAGGTTCCTTACTGCGATTTCTTTATTATTATAGTTAATGTTGTGTGACTTGGCCGTTGAAGGATACACAATGGTACAAAACCAGGTACTACATGACACCATTGCACCGATGCATTCATACGTGCAACATTTCGTGTAAACGCAACTTTATCAAGCCTACAATGACTGGTTATTCAGTCAAAGTTTTCCAAGTGGCAATTTTCCATCGTCAATGGGTAGCGGTTCTGGCGACAGATTGGTGCAATGGTGTCATATAGCACCTGTTTTGTACCCTTGTGTACCCTTCAACGGCCAAGTCACACAACATTAACTATAATAATAAAGAAATGGCAGTAAGGAACCTTAGACTTGGCACGACTTTGTCTAAATTTCATTACTTTTTAGAGATAAAAAAGCAGCTCCATCGAGACTTGGCTAGTTTTTTACAGAATATTTTTGGTGGGATTACTTATTTAGGACTTGGTTTCATTTATATTTACTGCATCCCAATTGCCAGTACCCAACTTCGGCAAAGTATAAGAAAAGGATATTTAAATTCATAAATTTTAGATTTTTCGATTTTAACTTCAGCTTCTCAATTCGTCAGTAATTTTGGAACGACGTAGCTTATCCCACGGTACGGACTTGGCGGATAGGTTAAAAAGACGCTTTAAATGCGAGGCGAATAAAAGTGCAAGATTTTTCCGTCACAATTTTCCGTTACAACCGTCAGCTAATTCGCGTATTTTGTGTACCTTAATACATATGTTTATTTTAACTTCGTTCTAACCCAGTAGTCCACGACACTCATTTTTTTTTGGGTTCCGTACCCAAAAGGTAAAAGCGGAACCCTATTGCTGTCTCTCTGTCTATCCGTCTATTTGTATATCACGATCTCTACATAGTAAACGAAATGAATTGAAGATAAACAATGTAACTCCTCAATGATAAACTGAATACCAAAAACACAACAAGACAGTGTTTTGTTATTGTAATTAATATAAAAAAGAGAATATTGGCCAGATACATAAAGGGCGCTTTCAATTTATGCGTTTCTTGACGGCCTGCTGCGGTGCCGAAGCGGCGCGTTTGTCGTACAGCGTACGGACGATCCTTTTTTTTTCATACAAAACGCGCGGTGCGGCAACAGTCCAGTTGTCGAGCGTTCGCGGTACCGGCGCCGCACTGTTGCCGCACCGCGCGTTTTGTATGAAAAAAAAAGGTCATGATGGTAACGGCAACAGTGCGGCGCCGGTACCGCGAGCGCTCGACAACTGGACTGTTGCCGCACCGCGCGTTTTGTATGAAAAAAAAAGGATCGTCCGTACGCTGCACGACAAACGCACCGCTTCGGCACCACAGCAGGCCGTCAAGAAACGCATAAATTGAAAGCGCCCTTACCTACACTGATAACTGATTTTTCCCTGGCTATTAAAAATAAAAACAACAAAATCGACTTGACTCGTCCAGTAACTAACTGGTGAAATATTCTTTAAGAAATCTTCTTAGGCTGTCCACCAAGGTAGCGCCTCTTCAATGTAGGTAACTACATATTACAAAATCTAAGGCACTGAACACAACAGAAGATGTAAGTTACGGACGCTCAGCGCAAGGCACGGATATAATATATGTCCCTTTCACACAAAATGCATTGAAGCGTCGTGTCGGCACCCTATCATTACTGATTTCTAAATGTTTTGCGTCGCAACGCTTCTATACATTTTGTTTGAAAAGGATAAGGAAGAGACATTTTGCGTCCCGTCTCCTACTTCTGTCTGTCCAGTGATAAAGAGAACATAATCTAAACGGTTACCTACCGTTGGTTGCCAGTTGGTCTACCGTTATAGACCAACTGGCAACCAAGTGATCTACCATCATGACCTTGTCTTCTTTTTAGCAAACAAAAGTGACACACATTAACATTATATCAAAGTTTATCTTCAGTTAAAAAAGAAAGTTTTCGTCACCTCATTAAATCATAATGATTTTTAATTATATCTTTCACTTCCTTTAAATAGCTTCCATTCCGCATATCTTCAGTGGTTTTACTATCATTGAGATGTTCTGCATCGTACAATCCTACAAAATAAATACTTGTTACCATAAAGCATATAATTAGCAAAGCAATCGTACATTACGTCTGATGATAAAAGCGGTCACCTTCAAGTAATCCTATAGTTTACATTTATAGGTTTGGATACTAGAGTATACCCTGACTCCATCCCCAATACCATGGAGCTTCTTCTTTTAAGTGGTTTCATCAGACGGGCATACCAATTCGAACCAGGGGTGTATTTACCCTTAGGCCAAGAGGGCCATGGCCCGGAGCGGCTGCGAGGGGCGGCTACAAGAACTGCCAGGAGCGGTTGAAGTCACATAAAGACAATCCTTACTGACCTACATTTTGATTTGATTTACTATTTTTAGGAAATTAGGGTGCAAATCGTAATAAAATCGTAAAGGAAAACCCGCAGTGCCTCTGTTCAATTTTCATTTATTGGTATTTACATCAAAGAGTCCATTAGCGTTAACTTTTAGTAGGTAGATATTACCATTAATTGTTAATTGAGTCCATAATATGGAAGTACTTAAACGCTGAGTGCTAGAGTGACCAATCAACATTGAGCTGTGGCTGTGGTGAGTTCAAGTTGTCCCCGTTCCATAATATGTTGACAGATTATAATTTATTTTCAGATAAAGTGTACTTTATTCTATTAATCACACACCATTTATCAGGAACGCATTCTCTTAGCGGCTAAACTATAGTAGTAGAAAAATCTTTGGTAGAAATAAAACAGTAACACAAAGCACACTGCATTAAATGTTCTTTGATTCAACTTCATTAAAATTTGTTTTGTGTGAAAATATAACAGGCATACTACTATTATGCAGATTACATGATTTTGCTATTATGAGGGCGGTTTCAGACTAGCGTTTTTTCTGTGCGTATACGATCGTTTTGTCATACGTGCTTTCATGCGCGCTACATTACACGCTTTAAAAAATTCGTACTCGCATACACGGGGATATTTCTGCGTGTACGCTCCAACCGGTAGTGGTGTCTCGCGCGGCTCGCGCATATAGTACGACCTTATGGAGGCCATACACGTTAGGTTTTGCATAATGGTTTTAACCGTACATTCATAACCGACATGCATAACCGAGTTACATGCACCGAAAACTGTACAGTTTTATCACATACACGTAAGGGCTTGCCTGTCGGTTATGCATGTTCGGCTAAAACCATCATGCAAAACCTAATGTGTATGGCCTCCATTACAAGCGCGTTAACACTCGTACGAGTTGCGCTTGTGGCAAAAGGTGTGCCTATACGGGATTACAAGCGCTTTCAAAAACGAGCTGAAACCGCCCTAAGGCGATTTTCAAACTGCTCCGCTCTACGCTGCGGGATCCGCGAATCGCCTAAATATTTAAAAGCCAACAGCATACTAGATATAGATATAATTACAAACTCACCCAAAGGGTATTCCGCAAGGAGCTGTTTATCAACTGGCACGTAGATCAGCCTCCTGATCCTCACAGCGAGCAGATCGAACTGCAGCGAGATGTGAGTCAAGAATGTGAACATCAGCAGGTCCCCGCACATCGAGAACCAGATGGCCAGTATAGCTGAAATCAAACACTCTAGACTAGTCTAGAAAAGTGACCGACTTTCTATCCGAGACAACTTTAAGGTCAAGGTATTCCGAAAAGAGCTGTTTGTTGACCCGAAAAGCGTCAGAATATTAATTCATGTACGAGGCGCGATGATCTGCCTAATTTCAATACTAGAAATAAAGATAAATTTAAGACGCCACTGTTGAGACTTCAAAAGGTTCTAGCTCAAGGTTAGGGTTGCCACCCGTACTTTATTATATAATATATATATAATACTAGCAAACCCGGCGAACTCCGTTTCGCCACCAGATGGCTTCGTTTTATGTAACATTTCGTTTGGTTATTTAATTTTTTTTTTAATTTTTCCTGAATTTTCTTTACTACAAACCTCACGGAGCCCGTGACCTTTCCAACGAATGCAAAACCGTGGAAATCGGTTAGTGCGTTCTGGAGTTATAGCGTCAGGAAGGAAAACCCGACTTATTTTTATATAGTAGATTATATTTGTACGTTATTTCGGGTAATTGTACTCTATACTTTATGCCAACAATAAAGTACGCGAAAATACTTTATTTAATGTGATTTGATTACTCGGGGATTATTTTACATAAAATATACAAAAATTGGTTGATAGGAAAATTGTTTGTGTAAAACGGACAGAAAGTATGAATATTTCGCCCTTAGCTAATTCCTGCAACATTTTCGTGGCTGTATGCCTTTGTATCATGACCGTTCTCATTGCGGAAAAGAACTACAGATTTTTAGTAGCCGCAAATTATTTATTAAATGTAGCTAGTAGCAACGCAAAATATATTTTTAAGCTTTCTAAATAAGTGGAATAAAAAGTGCTTTATTTTGGACACAATTTACTTTTTTTTTCTACCTTCAGTATCCAATGTACTTAAACCAACTAGGCAACCCTAGTCAATCAAATGCCTAAATAAACAATTTATATTTTATTAAGTTTTAACAGTTCTACATCTCTTAGTTATTTATTAGACCGACCAAGTACGAGTCGGACTCGCGAACGAAGGGTTCCGTACCATTATACACTGTATCATAATATAGAGCAAAAACGGCAAAATAAATGAGGTCTGTTGTATGGGAGCCCGCTTATTTGTTTTATTCTGTTTTTAGTAGTTGTTGTTATAGTGGCAAGTGAAATACATTATCTGTGAAAATATCAAATGTCTAGCTATCACGATTTATAAGATAAAGACTGGCGCCAGACAGACTGACAGTGGAGTCGTAGTTAAAGGGCCTTATTTTACCCTTTGGGCACGGAATCTTAAGCACTTGTTAAAGTGACGCTTTGATGTTTATTTTTGCACCAACTTAAATATAACAATTAATTAGCGCCTCTGAGTACCCACAGATTACAATCGTCCAACTAAGACTGAGAAGAGAGGAAGGGGAAAACGGATTACCCGCTGGAATTGGAGCGCCCGTCAAGGGCAGTAACTTCCACTTTACAGAAGATCACAGTAAAATAACCCACTTTTTGGTGGTGTTATGTTTCTGTCGGTGAGCGAGGTTCCAGAGTTCCACGGGGTAGGGGATTGGGTCAGGGCAGGCAATTTTTTTGAGTGTGTATGCTGTTGGTCGCAGGTGACTTTTACAGCGTCACCGGATTTGGGGACGGCGAGATCCTAAGGGGACCTCAAGCCGAGAATTGGCGAGTGCCTCTAGAGGTATTCCAGGCGGATGGATGGATAGTGGTCTCCCCAGTCTCCTCTCCGTCTGGAGCATCTAGACCACTCGAACCTGAGGGGGTCGGCTCAACTAGAGGGCGTCTCTGAGACTCGGACCTCGGCTCTAGTTAGCCGTTGTCGTGGGGGCGGGGAAAAACGCCCAGGAGGCGCGTTGGCGCGGGTGATTTCGTCGTCGGGGTAGTCTAAGACGTGCCTAGGCCGACGGAATCGGAGGGAACGGCGCTAGTGATATTTTTGCTTTCGTAAGCGTCTATCTACAGGCTATGGTGACGCTTACTACCAGGCGGGGCATATGCTTGTTTGCCACCATTTTAACAAAAAAAAGAACACACTTTTGTTTTTTTTTAGTAGTCATTCGCACATTAAAATAATACCAGTCGGACAAGTACTTTGGGATTGGAAAGTAGGTACTCAAAAAGAAAAAAGGTGAGAGATAATCACTTAGTAATTAGCTACCAAAGGGAACCCGGTCGGTAAGCCGGAATAATAATTACCCAGATTATTGAGGTTCGGGAGAGGGAGGAGGGTAGGTCAAGGCGATGATCCCTGCTGTTATCTTATCATGGCCCTCATTAACACCCACTAATCCGATCTGGGCACGGTGCAAATGATAAGTCAGCTATGTAGGTCAATCTTTATCAATTACGAATATCAATCACTGCTGTAAGCTTTGTGATTTTTCCTACTACCAACTACTACCAAGAGTGGCATAGGGGGTTTTCCGCTCGAATCGGAAATTTTTGGTAGTATTGCGTCTTAGTTACATGAGTAAGATTTCCAAAGTTCCACATGGTAGAGGATAGGATCAGGGTGAAATGATACGTGTAGTAGCGCAAGTGTTTTAAATTAAATTTAAAAATTCATTCATTGTTAATTATAAGCAAGTACAAGATGTAAGTGACAAATATATTTAGTGAATTCCTCAAAAGACTACAAGAATTATTTTGCGTTGATTAAGATTAACTACAGAAATTATATTAGATTGAAATAAATCTAACTATTATTGTTATTAGTTTTTTTGTTATTTAAATGTATATTGTAACGTTATTTAATATAGCCTTTCTCGATAAAAAGTTAATCTAACCATTTAATAAAATATAACTCAAATAAACAGTAGGTAGTAGAAATTATATTTTGCTACAGGAGTTAGGTAATTTATATTTGTATAGGAAAACATTTACAATATTCGTAAAATTTTCTTTTGATAAGTATCAAAGAAAATTTACGAGCAAATATTATAACTCGGCTTAGGTATCCAGACTGGATAAATATAATTTAAGGACAAACAAAATATAATAAAACGTTTATTAATATGAACTTACTATATAATAATACGGTTAGCATGTGTTCGTAGTACGGACTGTACGTTTCTTTACTCATGTGCTTTGTAGCATGATCTTAATTATGTTATTATCAGATACTAAACGTGTTAGAAGTTACTATGTTCATTATTATGAAGCAAACAAAACAACCATTCATAACTTAGGCCTGAACTTACTGAGTTTTTGCCGCGTATAGTTGACGCCATTTTGTACACTCTCATATGCAAGTCTTTACATCATTCCTTCAGGTTACACCGATAGTCTTAAGTGTATATTTTGTATAAGTAATGTCAGTTAGAGTCAGGTGTAACACCTCATAAAATGCAGGTCTGCCATTGGGCGATTTTCACGGCACCGGCACGGCACCGTTCTCTGTTTACTGGCACAGACTTCAGCACGACGACATGTACGACGCGTATAAAATGGTCTCCTCAAGCCGTCGACTGTGTTTGTTATATCTTCCACATCTAAGACCAACGCAGGGATGTAAATTTAGTAGTATATCACTATTAGTATCGGTAGATTTCCAATAATTATTATACTTTATTTGACAATGCCGGGCCTAAACTAACTCGATAAGAGTAACGATGTCGTTTTTAAATGCCATGACGCCGCACTTAAAGTGAGCCGCAAAACAAATACGAGTCTTCTCGTCCTCCTTTCCGATCCGCGTATTGACATACGCACACGGTTACAATATACATACGTATATACAATACACATGCAGTTTCGCCGGCCGGCAGGGAGTGGGAAGATTGCTATCCCGGCGCCGGGCGACGACACCGGCGCGGCGGGAATTAACACCGGTAAGTGAAAAAACGAACTAGGGGAAACAACCCAATCATTGGCACTCGTCCTATTATTGGCACTTTTGAGTTTAATTCGAAAAAAACAAGGACACAATAGATTATTCAAGGTCGTTACATATTAAAAAGAAAAACCTAGTATGGTTCCGAAATTTGAAAATTGGCAGCATTATTCCTATAATCTATTGTTTCCTGGTCTTTTCGAACTAAACTCGAAAGTGCCAATAATAGGAAGAATGCCAATGATTGGGTAGTTTCCCCTAAATGTTTTTATATAGTTTTGCCGGTGCCGATGCCGTCGCTGGCGCCGGTGCCGGCCGTTCAGTGGAAAATCGCCCATTCGTAGGTAGTATTTTTTTTTATCTTTCAGTCGATTGGTTCCTGCCAAATCCGCCGATGTGTTCGTGTTCGTTCCTTGTACATCAAAGTTCGAAGTTATAAAGCTAACAGCAGTGTTACCTCTTCGGTAACCATTTTGTTACTAAATGTATCGTACGCTGCTCACAGAAAACTGAAATGTAGCACGTGTACACGACGTCTCGTTTTCGCTAAAGCTCCTTAGTAGCTTTGTTCCTTACATAACAGAATTTAGACTATTGGACTTGCTTTTTCTTTTCAGTTTTTATTTGAAGTAATAATAAAAAAGTCGGGTTTTTAGATTTTTTAAATTTATCTTTTTTATTTCACACTTTTAGTTAGGATTATAAGACGGTACCTATATACCGCAATCCTGTCACTTCAGTAAAGGAGTTAATATCGGGGGGATTATTAAGTACCTTGCGGTGGTTTAAAGGATTGATTTATTAAGACATATAGAGACCGTACCACCAGGGTCAAGGCTACAGATGGGCTTCAAATTTCGCAAATGTGGGAAGTTAAATCAAGTTGTTACCTATACATCTAATACATGTAAGTTTACTGAAGAAAATTTTACTAGAATAATTTTATAGGAAAATATAGCGTGATAACTTTTTTTTGATACGTCTAAAGCATCACGTTAGTTTCTAACAGTTTATTTCATTGAGAACTTTTTTTTTGAACCTATATTTGAGTGTTTTCGTGTCCATATTTCTTTACTTTAATATGTAAATTTGTGATTTTGTTTTCATGTGTGTATAAATGTTAAAAAGATTAAAGTAGGTAATTTTGGTTCCTTTAAGTGATTCCCCCTCTCAAATCGTTTGAGAAAAACTCCACGGAAAAGTTAAGAATACTCTAATTTGGCGGTCGAGAGAGAAGTTTGGAATTGGCGGCATTTTCAAGTCAAGAGAGTACAAGAGCGCATTTTAGCGCTTATGAGTAGATAAAAAGTTAGATCAATTTGTATTTATGTTTTGAAAGTGTTGTCAAAATAATTCATCATTCCTTCTGTTTTTTTTTTATATTAAGGTAGGCAAATGACTCTACCCCACCTGATGTTAAGTGGTAATAAAGTCCAAACGCGAAGATAGCTGGTACAGCAGTTATAAACTGCTACACCTCTCATTCTCACCTTGCCGGCCTGCAAAAATGCTTCTTCACGCCTCTCTTAAAGGACCTCAGATTATAGGAAGGAGGGAACACTTGCGCGGGTAAAGAATTCCACTTACGAATAGTACGACAAAGAAATGAGTCACCAAATTTCTTTGTTCGTGTAGGAATAGTGGCCACAGTAAGTCGGTGGCAACGTAGGCCAGCGCGCGTGGTCCTCTGAAGAAAAGGTGATGGAGGGATAAGGGAGAATAACTCCTCAGAACACTCGCCGTGGTATAGTCGATAAAATGCGCTTAATGATGCCACATCGCGGCGTAATTGTAGAGACTCGAGTAAATAAAAAATAAAGAAATAAAGTAGAAAGGAAATTCTTGACAAAATTCTGAAAATCTTAAAGTAACTTTGTACCAAAAATACAAGTTAAGGTTGATCGGGCGTTAATCTAAAATTTCACCACGTATTGATGAGAAAAGCTTTAAAAACATCACGTGATTGTGAATGAATTAAAAAAACAATCTCTGCAAGTATCTATTTATAGGGCATAAGTTAACAATAAGTTTATGCTAAAACAGAAACTTACCATGCCAAACCTGTAAATTCAATAATATCATAAAGGCGGGTACACTCTGAGCCGGGTCGAAAGGCAACCAGTACCCAAAGGGCAGCACTGCTGGTACGTCGTGACCTATGGCCCAGTGTACTCCATTTATATATGTGTCAAAAAGGAAGATTACCAAGGACATGTTGTTGTACCAGTAGTACCCTGGAAAGGAAAGTAAAGAAATTAAAAAAAAGTTACCACGATTCATATTTAAACATACCATTTATTTTACATTATTTTATTTTATGTTCAATTATGGTCAATTTAATATTTTTTTCATAATTGCTTTGTGTTAAAATAAATGTTATTACCAAAACTTTATAAGATTTAATTGCTAGTTAAGTTTATTTTGCATGTCGTAATCGCCTATAATTAAAGTTTCACTAATAAAGTGTCTTACTATAAATGTTCACAAGAAATGTCTAAGTGTAACTTTGTTGGCGATCAAAAAAATAAATAAAAATGAAAAATACAAACAGGAAAATAAAGTATTTGCGTCTTTTCATAAAACTATGAGCCTCAGGATAAGCGTGTAACGTTAGCTCGTTTAGAGTGAATTGGTATTCACAATAGCATAGGTAGATACGCTGTAGACTGCCAATAAAGTGGTAATATGTCTAAAGGTAGGGCAGACCAAGACCACGGCGTGTCGGAGTTAACCAAGTCGGTTCTGAATTAAAGACTGTTGTAAAGCCACATTTACCTTTTATTATAAGTGTTGAGCCCATACTATTTTTTATTTACCAAGATCTCAAAACAAACACAAAATGGCGAGACATCTGTCATTTTGACAATAGTACCAACGTTTTGAATTTATTCATACTGTGATAAATTATCCCTACCCAATAAACAGTTTAAACAGAAATTAGCTTCGTATTACTACTGAATCTTTGAAGACATTTGTCAGTCTAATTCATACGGGTCAGAATTACTAGTAAGTTGGTTGAAACCAATTTTGAAATATATGTTATGGGCTAAGTGATTCATCGGGCCATTATACATAATGCCCGGGCTATATGAATAATGCCCAATAAGTGCGGGCAACGTCAATATAACCAACCAAATCATCACATTGCCCGGGCATTATGAATAATGCCCAGTGCCTATTGGGCAGAGTGATGGAAAGCATGTTTAATACTTTCAAATGAAGACTTAGTTAGATAGACCGAGCATTACAAGTAATGAAATCAATTAACGGGTAGAGTAATAATAAAAACATGTTTTATAGTTTAGTATTTATTTTTAAAATTTAAATAATCAGACTACGGTTTTACTTCGATCAATTTACGAAGGGCTACATTTAGGAACTATAGTCTATAGTAGATTTAATGCAGGTTGTTTGAAAAAAATCATTAAATCTGTTAAATGTTCAGAATTTATGGTTTCCTATTTTTTAGGATGCAAGGACTAGGGAAGTAAGAACCAGTACTTCTGCCTTATCTCTTCACACCTTCGGCTTGTTGGTCACCACCTCCGGCGGGGACCAGCCTCAGGCACTACGGGTCGCACGCTGCTTGCGGCTTTGTCAAGCAGGCGGGGGCAGCTCTTCCTCCGCGCCTCCGGGCTCTAAAAACACTCTAAAGGTAGGGCAGACCAAGACCACGGCGTGTCGGAGTTAACCAAGTCGGTTCTGAATTAAAGACTGTTGTAAAGCCACATTTACCTTTTATTATAAGTGTTGAGCCCATACTATTTTTTATTTACCAAGATCTCAAAACAAACACAAAATGGCGAGACATCTGTCATTTTGACAATAGTACCAACGTTTTGAATTTATTCATACTGTGATAAATTATCCCTACCCAATAAACAGTTTAAACAGAAATTAACTGTGATAAATTCAAGCTATCTCAAACACTGACTTATTACATGGACCACGAGCCGTCGGGCATTACTAATAATGGCCGGCCAATGTGATAAATAGGTGAGTTTATTTTGTAATTAATCACTTGGCCCGATATGTCTGGGCATTATTTATACTGCCCTGGCATTATGAATACTGCCCGCATTAATCACTTGGACCATAACATATACACCGACTATCAAAAAATATCTCACTTATATTGTCAGACTACAAACCAGCTAAAACAGTTGATAATTTAATTGCGGGAAATATTCTTTATCGTAGCAAATCGTATAAATTTCGCAAGTTTTAAGGTACAATTCCGCAATAGGCTGCATGCGACAACCGCAGGCGACACTGTGGCTAGCGACCGTGCATTATATGCATTGTGCAGCCGCGGCATGTCGCTGCGCTCGGAATCAATTTAGATCAATTTATTATAGAAACTAATAGTGTCGCCTGTAGTCTGCAGCTGCGGCTTGTGGTCTGCGGTTCATTTCGGACTTGTACCTATTTTCGTAGCACTCAGACACAGGTGAAAAGTGAAAAAGACGTAAGTAGTTGAAAACATTAGCAAAAGTCAAAGCATTAAATTTTAAATATCTTCATGAGGTTATATTTTTATTTTAAGCATTTAACTGCTACATGTTTAAACACCGGGATTCGGATCCGCATCTAAAATTTTCCGCAAATTTTTATTAGGTTTTACATATTAACTAGCTGAGCTGATCCACTGAACTTCGTACCGCCAAATAGGAGTTGGTGGTACTAATACCACCTACACCTTTTGATGTATGTAGTTTTAATGCCGAATCTTAAAAAAACGTTTTCATCATCAGCCTATTAATGTCCCCACTGCTGGATCCCTATGGATGGAATAGCGAGATTGAGCTATGACCCACCACGCGGGCACAGTGCGGATTGGTGGGTGCTAACGACTGCAAATGCAACCGGGACCAACGGCTTAAAGTGCCTTCCGAAGCACGGAGGAGCTCGAGATAGTAAATTTTTGGTCACCCATCCAATGACCGACCACTGCGAAAGTTGCTTAACTTCAACGATCGCAACCGAAGGCGCTATCAACCTGCACCATCGAGCTCCTCCTTAAAAAATATTCAAATAAAAAAGATTGTCTAAATATTTAAAAAAAATATTCATGGATTAGATTACTCTTATTACTTAGGGATATGAAAATATGTGCTTTACATCCTATTCTCAAATTAATGCAATAAACTCTTCCTAAGAATCGGTAATGTCGTTTCGGAGAAGTTTGTTACAAACACTGTGGCACGAGAATATTTAATATTATAAGAAAGATTAATGTAAGTAGCCAGAAACCAGCCAGTGCGCCCTTTAAATAACCTACTTCTAGGTATTCTTAAAAGCCTGAAAACTGATTAAAAATTAATTACCTTTGTTAACATAATTAAGTCGTGTCAAGGCAGGTTTGACGATCTTATGCTCTTCTTCAGTTACAATTCCTTTAGGGAACATATTTCTTAGTTTCTTCACCATATTCTCAAAAACTAATGGATCACGTTTCATCATATAGGTTTTTGTGAGACCTGAGGACAAAGAAAATGGTGTTTGTTAAGCCTGCTTAAGGCTGAACACACGATTCTCGGGTCCGAGTCGTAAAAAGTTAGTAGCCCTATTACTCTCTCACGCACTATTTGGTATGTGGGTACCTGATTCGGAGAATGACTATGTTCAAGGCTTCTTTGGATACAGAAATTGATTTTTTATTAATTTTCTGACAAGAGCAGTTAAATGATGTCCAGCCAAATTTTAACTGTTAATATTGACATTTTAACAATAATTATGCGGCGGTAAAATTTAACATACTGGTTTTAAAATGTAAAATCAAAATTAAAACTTAACAATATTTTTGTTATGTATCAAAAGAACGTTTGAAAAGATCTTTACTAACACTGCGGTGATTTTCCAATTAGAGCACTAGCGCGCATTATGCGGCATAATGCTTAACGTTCAATGTTTCAACTACAGCAACGCTTCGCACAATCGAGCACAAGTAATGTTTTCGCGTGATGCGTGCAATCGTACCAACTTAGTGGCAGAAAATTAAGTGTTTTTTCTTTAAGTTGGCATTGATCGAAATGTTTTATTTATCCTTAGTAATATTATTTATAGTTGAAAAATTTTTTAAGGCTTTCGTTTCATTGTAGCTTTTTTTTTAAATAATCCAAGTTAATTCAAACTGTGTTAAAAAAATAAATATAAGTATGGATGAAGGTAGAAACATTGACTTTTTATTTCAACACTGAATTTAGCGCACTCTGCTGGTGCATTTGAAAACTAATTCACGTTCCAATTAGGCATCAGCATAATTCGGCATTGTGCGCCACTGAGTCGCATTATGCTCTGTAATTGGAAAACTACCAGGGGCTGCTACTCATTTTACTGTGTTTATGGTAACAGCTAATCACATGGCTCTAATTTTTGGCGATGGTCTGTCAGCATTGTATCCGCCACTCTATGCACTACATTTTATTTACTCACAAACTACACCCACCCCGTTAAAAAGCTTGAAACTGGTTCATACGCCGAGTTTTGTCTCAAACATAGTAGGTACATATTATAACTTAATTTAAAAATAACAAAGAAAATTTTCAATATATTTCAAACAAATCAAATTGCGTCGGGATCATAAACTCAAGTGCTTGTGGTTCAAAGCTCTTGAATATCTTTTAAATGTCGCAATTGATTTTCATGTTACTACGCCTTGGACAATATACATACCCAACGGCAAGTAGCCAATGCACGGTACCATTCCGAAAGAGCCCACTACGTCTTCGAGCGAGCCATTCATAGCTGACAGCGCGTCCTGAGCCATCTTGATGCTTTCGAGCCAGAGGGCCACGAACATATTCAACAATTCGAACCAGTAGAATGCGTCCCAAACGCTTCTGTATGAAAAAGTAGACACTCATGTTTAGTTACCTAAATCGCTAATGGCACTCCTACTATCGTGATAAAACCATTGAAGAAACCCAAATTTTTATTTGATGGATGAGGGTATGACGGTACACTAAGAAATAACAAATTCTTGTTACCCTTTCCAAAACAATGGAATAAGTAGGTATTTTTTGTAGTTTTTATCAAATCATTTCGTGTCAGTTCGTCGGATGCGACTTTAGCCTGTAAGGTGTTTTGTTTTTGCGGAGTTATGGTATGTTTACAGAGTAATTTTATTGTCATTATGATTGTTGTGACCAGTACTTTCAGTTTAAAATTATTAGTTCAATGGTTATCAATGCAATTTGTTTTCTTGCAATGCGACATCATATTACATTGAAAAAATAAAATAAAAAAAAAGGTGGATGTTTGACAACACACATGCGCATAAATTTTAATTAAATAAAAAAATGGTTGCCTGTAAAGTCGGTTTTACGGGCGAAGATTTTACGTGACAACGTCTTTTTCTCGGTAGAATATTTATTGATATGAATATAATTAAATTGCACAATAGGAACAAGGAATTGAATGAAAATAAGAATTGCACAAATTTTAACTATAGAAATATATTTTGTTTACTAAAACATTGTACATGTAAACTTAAACTTAACACGAGAGACTCATCGTAACGTTACCGAGCGTTACACTTTTTCATAAGTGACTCCCAGCCGCAACCTAATTTAAGACGTTGTCACGTCAAAAATAGTGTGACCTATTCAAAGGCACTAAGGACCCGTGGCTGGCGTTCGTTGGGGCCGCCTCTTGCCCAGAGTGTGTGGTCGGTGTCGTGCGGTGTGTTTTGGTCCCATAATTTGCAAACAATCAGCTGATCAGCGCTGCTCTACTTGACAGCCCGACGCCATAGGGTCGCCCTGGAGACCATAAGCGTTGTACCGGGTCGCCTAGTTACCACATAGCTCCAGAAGACATAACTCTATGGAGTCGTCCTGCGCGCGCAGCCGTCAAGATGCGCGGTGTCAGTCTGCGCACCGCTGCTGCTGCCAAAACTGACAATCGCCAATTCTACTGTATTTTATTTTTATAGTGCTGTTTTTTTTTTTACAAATTCTGTTAATTTAAATAGTTTATAAGTAAATTAGTGATAAGTTATATGCAAAGCCAAGACGCAGGAACTTCTACTGCCAACGCATCACTAGAGAACCATGTCCAGTGCAGGCTCTGCGCGCAGCCCCGGTTTTTCAAAGGTGAGAGAGGCTTACGTATCCACATTGGTAAATGCCATAAACCTCTTAATATACATAGCTCAGTACCAGCCTCTTTACCTGTTCCCCATCCGTGTCCGCAACAAAATTTACACATATCCGAACCATTTTGGCTCCAAATCGCCCATCTGAAACAACTTTTCCCAGTGCTAAAACGTATCCCAAGGGGTGCAAGAGTTACCGTCGCCCAACACCTGACTAAACTCATTCGAGATACTGTACGCCTCAACTCAAACCACTCCTGGGAGCGTTTACTAACCTTTCCCTTTCGTATCCTTCATATCGAAAAAGGCACGGACCGCGATTTGTCGCTCACGACACTTATTAAACGCAATTGCAGTACCAACCTAAATCCGACCTTATTCCAATCCCCAGTTTCCTACTCCCCAACATCAATTAGTAACCCATTAAAATATATAGAAAATAAAATAAGTGATGGCGACATCAAGGGTGCTGCGCGTTTATTATTTTCTAACGATACGGTGGCACCGGACTCTCCAGAGACTCTCTCTGCCCTGCAAGCCAAACACCCGTCCCCAGCCTCCGACACGACTTTCCCCACTGCACCTGGCCTCGCGGACCAACCGCTTCAAACGTCCAAAGATGCCGCCCGCTTTGCACTTTCTTCCTTTCTTCCAGGATCAGCGGGCGGCCTTGATGGCCTATCCCCACAGCACCTTAAGGACCTTACCAGTGGATGCTGTGGTGAAGCCGGTGAGTCCCTGCTTGAGGCCATTACCTCACTGTGCAATTTGATGCTGAGTGGGAAAGTGGCCACCGATATCGTCGACCTACTATATGGAGCTAATTTATGCGCCCTTAAAAAAAAAGATGGCGGCATCCGCCCCATCGCAGTAGGTTCGACATATCGACGTCTCGTAGCTAAGATCTGCTGCAAAGCTACAGCGGATACGCTCGGGACTTATTTCCAGCCTATACAACTCGGGTTTGGCTCTAAAGGCGGGTGCGAGGCTGCCGTACATTCGCTCCGAGCCTTTGCAGAGTCCAAGGGTGGTGGGGTAATTTTAAAAGTCGACGTCAAAAACGCTTTCAATACCGTTGATAGGGGCACCATGCTGTCAGTCACGAGGGCTCCAGCTCTATATAACTTTATATGGCAGTGCTACAGCAAACCATCTAAACTTTTATATAAAGACCACCTCCTATCCTCCTCAGTCGGATGCCAGCAGGGTGACCCTCTCGGCCCAGCCATTTTTAGTCTGGCTATACACCCAATCATCGACCATCTAAATTCTAAATTAAATATGTGGTATCTTGATGATGGTACCCTAGGAGGCGACGTGACCACAGTCCTCTCTGATTTTCTTATGCTTAAAAACGAGTTCAGCAAAATAGGCCTGGAACTAAATTTTGCAAAATGCGAGATTTTTGTTCCAGAAAGCCTCGACAACAGGGAGGCAATCATTTCTGAATTCCAACTAATAGCTCCAAGCATAAGACTGTTAGATAAGAAATCACTTTGCCTCCTAGGGTCCCCGATTTTGGATGAATCACTCCCAGATTTTGTAGATCAAAATTTAAAAAAATATGAAGAAGTTTTTGAACCTTTACTCAAAATTAACTGCCAAATGGCCTATGTCATAATACGGTACTGTCTTTTCGTCCCTAAATTTACGTATGTCTTGCGATGCTGTCCACTTTGGAAATTTCCCTCTCTCTTAACAAAGTTGGACGGTGTCATAAGACATACTCTCTCCTCCGTCTTAAATATAAAATTTGACCTCCGTTCCTGGACCCAAGCATCACTCCCAGTTAGGTTCGGTGGTTTGGGTGTACGCAACACTTCGGACGTCTCCCTCCCGGCCTTCATTTCTTCCATACACTCTACCAAACCACTCGTTGCGAAAATACTTGGGCGTCCTTTGAGCGTGTCCTTGTTCTCGCTTCTAGATGAAGCCGTAGCAACCTGGAGTGCAGCCTGCCCTGACACCGACGTCCCGACGGACCCTGCCACCCAGCGACTTTGGGACGCGCCACTCTGCAGGCTGAAACGCAATGCGCTTGTAGAATCAGCTAGCAGTCCCGCAGACCGTGCGCGTCTCTTAGCCGTTGGCGAGTGGGAGTCTGGACTATGGCTGCAGGTACTGCCTTCCGCGAATATCGGTACGCTCCTAGACCGCTCAACTTTTCGCATAGCCACGTCCTTGCGCCTTGGCTCGCCCTGTGTCGTCCCCCATCTTTGCCGGTGCGGAGCGTTTGTCACCAACCTCGGCCATCACGGTCTCTCCTGTACAAGGAGTGCCGGCCGTATAACCCGCCACCACTGCATCAACGATGTCATCCGCAGGGCCCTCGCCTCCGCCAGCGTGCCTGCCGTTTTAGAACCAAGCGGCCTGCCGCGCGACGACGGTAAGAGGCCCGACGGCATGACACTCGTTCCTTGGAAGCTGGGACGGGCACTTGTGTGGGACGCAACCTGCGTCGACACTCTGGCCCCGTCTCATATTCCCGGAACCTCGATGCAGGCTGGCGCGGCTGCTTCGACCGCAGAGGCCCTTAAGCGCCGCAAGTATGATTGCCTCAGTGGAGACCTCACATTTGTGGCGTTTGGAGTCGAGACTCAGGGACCCTGGGGCTCCGGTGACCACCATCTTTTCAAAGAAATCGCAAAAAGATTGGTGGAGACCACTGGAGACCGCAGAGCTGGCGGCTATTTCGCCCAGCGCATAAGCCTCGCCATTCAGCGGGGAAATGCCGCCAGCGTCCTGGGAACCTTTGCCGACGGGGACGTTCTAGGGCAGCTTAATTTTTAATATTTGTATAGTTTTAGTGTAGTTTTATTTTAATATTTGCCATGTTATACATTGAAAACCATTATACAATAGCAGCAGTTAGCATGTTTTTTCTATCGTGAAATAAACCAAATAAATTTTATAAAACTTAATAATTCAATTACGTGACTGAGTGCGGAAGTAAGGTCTGACTAAAATGTCAAGCCGACTTTTGTCTTACATCTGGAACTATGCACGTTTTTTTAGTTACTATAATAAAAATACATTGGGAGCATATTAAGTTCCGCCTGCAGCAATTTTGATAAATTTCGATTTAATTTAAATTAGATTAAGCCCATACAAAAATGATAGATCCAAATTTAAATTCAACATCTTTTATTTTGTCTTGGCTGTTACAAGCACTTGTAAATGTCGAAAAGCTACGCCATCGGTTCGCAAATCTACGGCGGGAGACATTGTACTGAGAAGAACCGGCGAGAAACTCGGCAACGACTGTTTTTTTCTCCCTATATTATATACAGAGTCGTCAAATTGAAACTTCAATATGAGATAACTCATGAAGTCACTTTCCATTACAAATGTAAATGATATAAAAATTATGCCTATACAAAAAAAAAGATTTAATACATAGTTTAGAAATGCCGTGTCCTACTGTTTAGGCATAAAAAAAATGTATAATTAAAGTTAAATACAATGATAAATAGTACCCAATGTAGCAAGTGCAAGCTCATCTCTGCTGGCAGCGCCTGTTCACGAGCATGACGCATGAACCAGCCATCGCTTCGCTCAACCACTTTTAAGGGGAACGTAACGACCCGCCTCACACGACACCGCCGAAGAGATTTTTAAGAGAGCATGACTACCCATAACCATTTGTGGATACTGGGTTGCAAATAGATAAAATAAATTTTATTAAATAATATATAAGTACCTGTGTACATTATTAAAACTATAAACACAACTATAGGACACATGCATGTGATTACCTATAACTACACTATTCCTACCTACACTATTAAGTCTGTACCAGAGAAATAATAATTGTTCACCTACGTTTTGATCGCTGTGTCATAGACTATAAATACAAATGGGCCCAATTATGGCGTGCCAACTTATATCTAAAACTAACTAAAATTAGATATAGAGTTGTCAAATTCGATTAGATTAGGTATTTTGTAATGACACACTATCTCTAAATTTAAAATTGACGTCGCTAAGTCGTTCAACTTAGATTTAGATGATTAAATGGTATTCTGAAAGGCGTACTAAATGTCATATTTTCTCTAAAATTAAAAATGTCAGACTAAATTTAAGAAGGACCTACGGAGGTCCTCTCTAAATTTAAATGTGAATAATTGGGATCAAATGTTAGGTAAATGATTGCTGTACTTCAGTTTTGAACTCATTGTTAAGGTTGGATATGGGTTTATTTCGTTAAAAAAGTCATACATTTTATACAATAATGAAAGACGACGGTGATAATAATATATTAGCTAGATCTTTTAATTTTTTTAAAAGGTAGGTAAGTCTATGTTACGATATGGATTTATTATAAGCCTGTTAATGTGTCATGACCATCATCATGACACGGGCCTAATGCGTCTTAGTGGGGGCTAACGACTGCAGATGCAGCGAGCAGCAACATAGGAACTCGATATAATACATTTTTGGTTGGTCACCTATCCTAAATTCGGCCATTGTGAAAGTTGCTTAACGAAAGTTGCAGAACGAACGCATTACACTTGCGCTTTTGTGGTACTTCGTAGGTAATGTATACGTATATATTGTATAAAATACTAAATAATTTAAGGTAACATATTTTTTAACATATATAAAAATCCACTTCATATAACAAACAAGCTAAAAGGGTAAGAAATCTATGTACTAATTTTTTAAGTAATACCTACAGTACCTACTTATATTTATAGTAATTACATAGTCAAATAATTAACAAAATAATAGGTATGGTAATAATTACAATCAAAAAATTATAATCTAAATTTTATTTTGACTTTTAATGTAGGTACTTTATTTAGACTTTAATATATTATTTGTTCCATCCTTTGTGTTTAGTGCTTTTGTTTTTATGAAGCAGTTTTTAATATATGTTGGAACTGTTTTTTAACCCACTTTTATAAGCAAATCATATTTCTTAAAATAACCAAACACGAAATAAGTTCCTACTGTTTGTAATTGAGAAGTTTGTTTTTATATATCCGAAAGTACTTGGCATCTTCACCAAATAATTAATTGGGATTTGGGACGATCTCGCTAAAAACTGATAGAAACAAAAAAAAGATAAAAATAGGCTACGCATCTCGGATTATACAATAAATGACAACAAAATCTTCACAAAACAGCCGAGGGGATTGTTACAACCTCTTACCGAAACCGAAATTAATAACCATAGGTAGGTATTATATAGATGCACTGGATTGAGAATTTACGATGCGAGAAATTTGCAAGGATGATTCACGTTAGACCGTGTCGGTCGTAGCAGAGTTAACTAATCATCATCATCGGCCTATTAATGTCCCCATTGCTGGGGCATAGGCCTTCCCTATGGATGGAATAGGGAGATTGGGCCATTACCCACCACGCGGGCCCAGTGCGGGTTGGCGGGTGTTAACGACTGCAGATGCAGCCGGAGGAACTCGTGATAGAAGATTTTTGGTCACCTATTCAATGACCGACCACTGCGAAAGTTGCTTAACTTCGATCGCAGCCGAACGCGCTAACCACCTGCGCCATTGAGCTCCTCTAGTTAACTTATATTGAATAATATATTTTACATGGATTATGGACACATTCACGCTATTCCGGGCGATAACCGACTGACAACCGAGCAACAAATGAAACAACGCTCGGAAAAAACTTGGTCTCGTCTCGGCTTGGCCACGGCCCGTTGCATGAATACAGCGCCGGCGCGGTGCCGCTGGGCAATCGAAGTGATACCTCAGACAAAACAAAAAACGTTTTTGCTCGGTCGAGTACACTTACCCTATTTCCTTTATCTAAATGAATAAACTGCATCACGGCACAACAGTACCAACCTAATTGCTCGGTCGAGGCACGTC